GCATAGCAATGCTCCTCTGAAAATTTTTTTTTTTTTTGCAGAAATATAGGGTGGAAAAATCTGCGATAATGAATATAAAGCACACTGCAAATACACATCTAATTCAATGCAGATAACGGCCAAATAGTTAAAAAAATAATTTCACGCTAAAAAAAATCGCCACGCCAGGAGGGGTAAAGGCAATCAGGTCAGCTGGAACACACATGAGGTGTCTCTTTTTTTTCAGTGAGTGGGCAACCCTAGCTGTCATGTTCAGGGTTGCTCTCATTAGGCGCGGTTTCCATTCGTGATCTCGGTTATTACATAATTAGTGGAGAGGAAGCGCTTTAGACACGTCTATCTCACTGCAACATCTTCATTTTCCCCTTCTTATCGTCACACGTGTTCACACATACAGTAAACACGTATGCAGGAGCGTATGTGCGATTGTGTTAGGATCAGACGCACGCAGAGACGAGGCCACAGCTCCGAGCATCTTCATGGTGCGTTGCCCTCATCATCGTCATTTTAGAACTGCAGGTATTGAATATTGATGGATTGCTCATTATCCTCTTTGCATGTTTACAGCTCTTTTCTAATGAGATCACTTTGATTTCTTTTCATTTCTAATAAGATTTCCGGACAGCAAGGTGGGCCTCTGAAGCCTCATTATCTCAGTATTGATTAATTTATAGTTGCCATTTTCATATCTCTAAGTAGAAATTGGTTTTATTAGTCTTCAGTCGCTGCTGGAGGTGGTTTCCGTAACAGAAAGAAGACATGTTGTTTTCATTTCCAACCATTGGTACATGAGTGTTGCCCTGAAGAGGGTTAATCAAAGTTGCATCAGGATTTTCCTGCTCTACAGGTCGCAAACATGCCAGTTTGAAACCGATATTTGGTGATTTTCAAGGAGAGGAGAGGGTGTTGAGTTGCATTTTCAACCAGTTTGAAAGATTAAAAACTATTAACCAGACTCAATGGCTCAGTAACTAAAATCCTGAAGTGAGATGAATTCAATTCAATTCAGTTTATTTCTATAGCGCCAATTCACAACACATGTCATCTCAGGGCACTTTACAGTTCACCAGATCATCCAGTCAAATTGATACAAAGTTTTCTATCTAAGGAAAACCAGCTGATTGCATCGACTCATTGACTCGAAGGCAATCCCTCACACTAAGCATGCTTGTAGCGACAGTGGAGAGGAAAAACTCCCTTTTAACAGGAAGAAACCTCCAGCAGAACCAGGCTCAATGTGAGCGGCCATCTGCTGAGGCCGACTGGTGTTCAAGGGGACAGAAGCAGGGATACAAAAAGCAACTCTGTGTTTCCCATCCAGGAAACACACAGCCAGGTAGATGAGCTCTGTCACAGTCAGAGAAACCGGCCTACACTGGAAAAGCAAGCAGATCTCCTGCATCTATAAACAAAGGTGTTGATGGCAGCAGCACAGCTGATATTTCTCTCCAGGATGGAGTCACAGCCAAACAGGAACAGACCAGATGAAGCTACTATGAAAAAAAGCAGAGAGAGCAGAACGTTAGAGATTGAACTAACAGATTCTTCAGAGTGAGAGAACAGATAGAAAGAAGCAGAATGATTAAAAAAAGGGGTCCCTATGTCCTCCAGCAGTCTAAGCCTATAGCAGCTTAACTATAGAGATAGCTCAGGATAATCTGAGCCACTCCAACTATTAGCTTTATCAAAAGACATTAGACATCCGGCGCTATTTCAGCTAAAAATGGCAACAGATTATGAGTTTATACAAGTTAGTAATATTATACAAGAAGCTTGAGAAAACATAGTTTGTTCTTTACTAGTTAAAAAAAATTGTGGCTTCTCAGAGGACCATGACTCCCAGTTACAGGTTAAAATTAACGTTTTCGTACTGTACAGACAGAATCAGACTACAGAGCTTCTACATATCTTGAAATTTGGTTTCTGGCATCATTATATTAGTAAAGAGGTTCATAAATCTTTTTAAACAGAGTACAGAGAGAAGCAGAGAGAGCTGCAGATTTAAAGGGGAAACAGATTTACTGGGATATGCAACATGCAATAAAATATTTCACCAAGTTTACCAGAAAGTTTACAAGAAAATAATGTTATGCTATATTTAAAATGCAGCATATCCATACTTTTCTGGATGGATGGAATTGAAATTGTACTTCAAGGGATTCATTATATATCGATTTTGGCATCAGAATCGGCTGATATTCGTTTTTTTTTTATATATACATTCTTGTTTTTGGGCCCTATATCTGTAATGCACTAAAAGGCATCTCTCTAACATCTATAAACATAAATATCAGTGTATTATGGTTCTCTTGTGTTCTCAACAATAGGAAAGCATTCAATAAATATATGTTTGAGCTCATTTTTGAAAAATGCAAAAATTAATGAAAGCGTTCGGGTGGAGTTACTGCAGCTCCATCAACCTCGACCCGAGTGTCCCCACCAACCAAGTTACACCCTTGCTAAACACTATTCTCTAAAAACCTAAAAATTGGTTAAGTGAAGTTATTGTTAAATAACTTAGTTTAACAAATATTAATATGTTCTGACAGCCTCTCTAGATGACAGTGGAGGACCTCGTCTATTGAGCCAATCCAACAATCCCCTTCAACGACCCCCCCTTTTAGAGACATAGACAGGTATGGCGCATTGCAGGCTAACATAAGAAGCCAAACGACCCCCATTCCTAAGGGGTGGACCCCTTCGTCCGTTTCTATTTGCATGTTTTCTAAACAAAAACAAGGTTTTGATGCGCTAATCTATAAAAACCTCAAACTCAACGCTATTCCTGACATTTTGAATTGAAAAAGCATCATGGATGAGAAGCGAAACATCTTCAAAGTTGGAAACAATTTCCACTGGATTTTTCTTTTTTTTTTGGAACATTCTGACAGCAGCAGCCATAGACTCTAAAATGATTTATATTAACTTTGGAATTTGAGCTAAGCAAAATGGAAAAGTTGCTTTAAATGCAAATTAAAAACTCCTTCATTTAGATCAGCATTTGACCGAATCTAAATATTATGAGTTAAATTTAAGGAGCAACTTTATTTGCTTTCATTATTGATAATTTAATGGTCTTTAATTATCTCATGATGTATTTCCTCTGTGTGTTTTGCTTTCAGGTACGGCACTATTAAATGTTGCATTACTGAATTGTGTCCCAGAAATAAACTTGCCTTGTCTAGTAATACTGCTGCTATGGTTTCTGTTACTGTAAGGTGTGTCCTTACCGCGTCCTTCTAATATTAGCAGGGCAGATCTATAGATCTGTAGATGGGCTGGTTAGATCAGCAGTTTGTAGAGCTGCTGCTGCTTTTCCTCTCCTAATATTCTAGATGATGTGTTTCCATAAAAACAAAAAACAGCTATGACCTTTTAGATAACAAAGTTTACTTAAATAACTTAATGTTGGAAGCATGTTTTCAGCTTCTCCACTAGAACATGAATCACACTCTTTGTGGTGTTCAGAAAATATGAGTTACAAAAAAATCAAAATAAGAAAACAAAGAAGGCATTAAGAGATATCCTTCAGTAAACCGACGGTATTCTCCCATTTCAGATGCTTCAAAACAAATTAAAACGGTTGTGTGTCAAAGCATATGTCTAATTAGTGTGTTTATGCGCGTGGATGTGGTGCCCGGGGCTAACGGAGAAAGCTAATGTAGTGGAAAATGCGTCGTAGCTGGGGCATGAAATAATGATGAGACACTGTGACTTAATCATGTTGACACGAAAAGTTTTTCTCTTCATCTTCCTTTCGTTTTCCCCTCTGCCATCGCTCTGATAGACTGACAGAGTCTGTCTCGTTCTGGCAGCGGTGAACCCTGCTGACAACTTGATTTCTATTATACTGTTATTAACACTCAGACTGCTGCCAAAGGCTCTATTTTCTCAAACAGCAAATTAATAACTAATTCATTAAGGGAAATATCACATTATAGAACTGTAATTAGATATGAGGTTTAAACAAAAAATAATGTTATTTAAATTTTTTTGAAGCGACACCGATTAGGGAGTCGTTTTTAATTATTTTTTTCTATGTTTTTTTTTTTTTTGCTAAAAGAAACATTATATGTGAAGCTATGAGAGTTTTATTTGTTGGCACCTAAATCCAAGTTATATTGTTGCTTCTTGGGTAAATAAAAATAAGAAGATAAAGCTGTAGTTTTAAAGCTGCATCCTAATTGATGAGCAATAAATGTTGATTAGTAGGTTTCTCTTTTATGGAGTGAATTTTGTTCCATTGTTTTTAAAACCCAAAAAAAAAAAAAACCCAAACTCAACATGAGACTAAAAAAGGGTCTTGCTTAAAAAAAAGGCTATGAGAGGAACTTAAACTTTGTATTTTTTTTAAATGTTAATTTTGCAAATTTATTTTCAATTTTTTTTTTCCCCAGATTATATTTTATAACATGCATTTTTATAAAAATTGCTTTTTCAGGATCCATTCCCTTAAAATCGGATGGGTTTTCTTCTATAGTGAGGAGCAAAGATTAATTTCTTAGCCTGCAACAAAGTTTTATTGGTCAAGAGTGTATTGGACTCAAGGTGAAGAGAATAGAATAATAAAAAAATATTCTATTTTTTTAAATCAGAGAAAACAGCAAAATTACTCTTAAAACCTTACCTTAACCTTTAAAAAAGAATTTTAAGTTTATTTTCTGAATTGCTTTTTTTTTTCAAATTTCCATTTACACATTTGCTTTTACTGCAAACATATTTAGAGAAAAGCTCACCCTATATAGTTATTTCTGCTTTCTTTGTTCAGAGATGCATCTAAACATGAGGTATGGTGGCCCCCTGAGGACATAGACTAACAAACAGTTGCATTGGCATATTGTCCAAACCATTGATCTCACTTTCCAGATGGAGGATTCTTCTTTTCGCTGTTACCCTTTCCTTGAAATTTTAACAATCATGCTCATCCTGTTGGAGTAGATGTTTACTCAGAAACTGATGTTTTTAAATCCTTAACAGTGATTTTTCATCTCTTATTTCAGGTGGCTGTACATTTGAGGAGTCTTATAGCAGCTGTGGATACAGCGTGTCTTTAGGAACCAATGGATTTACTTGGGAACAGGTCAACTCCTGGGAAAAACCCACCATGGACCCCGCCCTGCCGACTGGTAGGCCTCCGAACATTACTTCTCACTGTTTTCTTGGGAAATACTCTGAATTGTTTCCAAGTCCAGGAAGCAACTGATTTATTTCTTAGGAATCCATTAATGAGATTCAGATCACTGCTTTTATCTACATTTATGAGTCCTTTTGGATAAAAGTGTGTATCTAATATATAAACATAAACAAATGCATTAATAAATACACCTGCAGGATTCTCTTGAATATTTGCCTAACTTTTTATTTGCATTAAAACATTGTTTCAAGGATTCTGTGAGACAATTATACAGGTGCTGGTCATAAAATTAGAATATCATGAAAAAGTAGATTGATTTCAGTAATTCCATTTAAAAAGTGAAACTTGTATATTATATTCATACATTACATACAAACTCATATATTTCAGATGTTTATTTTGTTTAATTTTGATGATTACAAATGACAACAAATGAAAATCTCAAATTCATCATATCAGAAAATTAGAATATTACTGAAGACCAATGAAAACAAAGGATTTATAGAAATGTTGGCCAACTGAAAAGTATGAACATGAAAAGTATGAGCATGTACAGCACTCAGTATTTAGTTGGGCCTCCTTTGGCCTGTATTACTGCAGCAATGCGGCGTGGCATGGAGTCGATCAGTCTGTGGCACTGCTCAGGTGTTATGATAGCCCAGGTTGCTCTAATAGTGGCTTTTAGCTCTTCTGAATTGTTGGGTCTGGTGTATTGCATCTTCTTCTTCACAATACCCCATAGATTTTCTATGGGGTTAAGGTCAGGAGAGTTTGCTGGCCAATTAAGAACAGGGATACCATGGTCCTTCAACCAGGCACTGGTAGCTTTGGCACTGTGTGCAGGTGCCAAGTCCTGTTGGAAAATGAAATCTGCATCTCCAAAAAGTTGGTCAGCTGCAGGAAGCATGAAGTGCTCTAAAACTTCCTGGTATGTGGCTGCGTTGACCCTGGACCTCAGAAAACACAATGGACCAACACCAGCAGATGACATGGCACCCCAAACCATCACTGACTGTGGAAACTTTACACTGGACTTCAAGCAACGTGGATGAAGTGCCTCTCTTCTTTTCCTCCAGACTCTGGGACCTTGATTTCCAAAGGAAATGCAAAATTTACTTTCATCAGAGAACATGACTTTGGACCACTCACCAGCAGTCCAGTCCTGTTTCTCTTTAGCCCAGGCAAGACGCTTCTGACGCTGTCTGTGGTTCAAGAGTGGCTTGACACAAGGAATGCGACAGCAGAAACCCATGTCTTTCATACGTCTGTGTGTGGTGGTTCTTGAAGCACTCACTCCAGCTGCAGTCCACTCTTTGTGAATCTCCCCCACATTTTTGAATGGGTTTTGTTTCACAATCCTCTCCAGGGTGCGGTTATCTCTCTTGCTTGTACACTTTTTTCGACCACATCTTTTCCTTCCCTTCGCCTCTCTATTAATGTGCTTGGACACTGAGCTCTGTGAACAGCCAGCCTCTTTAGCGATGACCTTTTGTGTCTTGCCCTCCTTGTGCAAGGTGTCGATGGTCGTCTTTTGGACAACTGTCAAGTCAGCAGTCTTCCTCATGATTGTGTAGCCTATAGAACTAGACTGAAAGACCATTTAAAGGCTTTTGCAGGTGGTTTGAGTTAATTAGCTGATTAGAGTGTGGCACCAGGGGCCATCAATTTTGAACCTTTTCACAATATTCTAATTTTCTGATATGATGAATTTGAGATTTTCATTTGTTGTCTTTTGTAATCATCAAAATTAAACAAAATAAACATCTGAAATATATGAGTTTGTATGTAATGTATGAATATAATATACAAGTTTCACTTTTTAAATGGAATTACTGAAATCAATCTACTTTTTCATGATATTCTAATTTTATGACCAGCACCTGTATAGTACAACTGGGAAAGTACTTTCCTTCAAGACTGACAATGATTGTTTTCTACTTTCGGCTACTTTAGATCACCAATTATATGTCAAATAATAGCAAATATAGGAAATAATATGTTGAGACTCTAAAAGAGATTCGATCCTGAAGAAAAGGGTGCAATACAGTTTGTCCGAGTGGAGTTGCCATATGATGACGTCATCAGACCTGGTAGCTACAGCGGAACAATGAGCTCCTTCAGCCTTTGAAAGATTATTTCCAAAGGCTGATTAAACACTATTTAGATTATTTGTTACAGTTGTTATTCATTTATTTGACAAATAGGAATACTGTGTTGGAACCTGCTGTTTTTTTCTTAATCCCCCCCCCTTCCCTCTGTCTATCTCTGCCCCCCTATCCCAGAATTAGCAGACTCAGTAATTTGACCCCAGCTGGTTTCTTCTTCTCCATTTGTCATAGCGTTCAGACAGCCTGTCTATCCGTCTCCTTTTCTCTTCCAGATCTGCTCTTTTGCCCTCTAAATCTCGCCTACAGTCCCACTCTATAACACGTGTTCTACCTCACACAGTCTTTTTCACACTTTCTTCATTTCTTGTTCATCTCCCTGCTTTGCAGCTCTTTCCCCATTTGATTGACGTGACTGTTTTTCAGATACGGTCTGTTTAAAATTCAGAGTAAGGTGGATTATTTAGAATGTTATTTTTTCACCCAGCCCTGCATAGATATGCCAAAATAAAATATGTTAAGATCCCACACATCATAAATGGTAAAAATACTTAATTTCCCTTTCAAAGTATAAAAGTATTTTTGAATTGAATTGAATGAAAAACTGTCGGATTTTGGCTTACAAATACAATATTTCTTCAGGCTTCCCATCTTTGGATCCTTCTGTTACAGCTTAATGTTGATTATTTAATCCTCAGGCAAGAGTCAGGTCAGGACATGCGTTCAGACTGGACCCAAAGTCTGAGGTGGCCCAAATGATCTGGAGCAGCTACACAAAGACAAGGCTTCTACAGAGCGGAAGCTTGAAGACTTTAGTTGCTCAAACACAATGCTTTCACATCAGCCATCAGGGTGAAACTCATTGAACTGGTGCAAACAACAGACTTTAACCAGATATCTGGAGACATTAAAACCTGGATCACAAAGTTAATAAGATGCAACAGAGGGAGCTGCAGTGACCAAGGATGGTTCTGGCTTTTATACAAATTGCTTTACAACATTTAAACTTATAATCTAAATGATCCATCTTTCAATTTAATCCAACTTCATCCATCAGGGTCTTAGTGGGGCTGGTTTCTAGCAGTTTATACAATAGTAGCCATTCAAAATGTCCCCACTTTCCTTGGCTGGTCCCCTACAATTCCTTTTTAAACATCAACTTTTCTACTAAAATATTCTTTCTGTCATGATTTGTGGACATTAAGATCTAAAGAGAAGTGCCATCTCCTGGTCAGACCCTGCTATTTAGTGAAAGGGTGGAATCAGAGTAAAAAAATATGCAAGAGGATTTCACTCCAGTGGCTGGAAGTTGGAGGGGATTTTGCTGGGAAGTAGGCTGCCATTCGGCTGGCGTTTGACTGGGAACGGCCATTTTGAATGGCTGCTACTGTAGATGGAAGGCAGGGAACAACCTGGGCAGGTCGCCTTTCAGGCACAGGGCAATACAGAGAAGCACAATCATACACACACTCACACCTAAGGACAATTTAGAGACACAGATGAAAAAATCTGAGGAAAACCCTTCCTGAATAATTGCTGAATATAAGACGAGTTCCTCTAGAGCTGTTGGACATTTTTAATTTCAATTCAATTCAGTTTATTTCTATAGCACCAATTCACAACACATGTCATCTCAAGACACTTAGTTCACCAGATCATCCAGTCAGAGTGATTCAAAGTTTTCTATATAAGGAAAACCAGTGTATTGCATCGACTCACGAGCGATTTTAAATGGGATTCGTCCGAAGGTTTGGAATTGTAATCGAGCCCACTATTACTTTAACTGGTTCCTGTCCCCCCTCTATGATTCAACACAACAACATTTATTTATGTTTTAGTCTGATGAACCAAAAGATGGACACAAAAAAACTTCTGCTTTCAGGTAAACTAAATAAATGTATGGATTTCAGGAAATGTTTTTAAGGAATACATAATAATTAATTATTCCACTTTTGATCACTTCCAGGCTGAGCCTATGCTGTCTGCGTACAAACTAACAATCCAAAGGGAAATTAAAATCCTGCGTCCTTCAGGCAGAATGTCCTCCATGCTGGTGTCAGAGGGGCTTCTTTCAAAGCTTTATTTCTAGACCATAATCTCTCTGATATCATCTGATTCATTTGCTGCTTGATGCCTGAACATATCCAAAGCTGGATCTCTGTTGTGATTGTCTCTCCATCCTAAATGATCTGTTAGTCATATCAATTATAGCCCTCATCCATCATCATCGTCATCATCTTTCCGTCTAATTTTCCTCCCATCAGTGTCTGCACTTTGTCAGTGGTGCTGCTGCCGTTTTCAACCCCGTCTCCCGCTGTAGATCTGATCCGATCGAACTTGGCTGTTACAGCGCTCCGTCTCGCTCTCAGTGATGCAGGCCTCTTGTCAGTTATCTGTCTCATCTACGGGCCGTGGGTGGCGGTTGTCAAGCGCGATAGCCATTACAGTCTGTGAGTGATCAACTGCCCGCTGCTCTGACAGCCAAAGATCTGATAAGGCTGGACAGGAGAAAATCATCTCCCAGCTTCTTCTCTCTGAGTGCTGGTCATTTGTTTTTCTTGCTGTTGGCTCTGCTGACGCTCAATTGAGCTGTGGATGCCTTTATTATCACATCAGATCCATTTCTGACCAAAATGATAAAACTGCAAACCTTCTACGTAATGCCTTGGGCTTCCTAATGTAGGTAAATCCACAACGCTCATACACACCCTGCAAGGAAAAAGGACTCGGAATGAGTTCTCCTAGAATGAATAAACATGAATTTTAAGGACTTTGTATAGAAAATACCAGGTTATAACTTCTTTATACATTTCAAAAAGTCCAGGCTGTGGAAATGGGGCTGTGTCAACAATGGGTGGTGAGGTTGCTTGAGGACCCAGATGCAGGG